GGAAGGAGTCTTCAAACTGAGAACCCAGCAGCTATTGAACTTCTCATAAAAGTTGAGCAAAACTGCAACAGTGACTTATGAAATGAAGCTGAAAAGGGCATATGACTGAAAATACCAGACAACCGTGGTCTCATCTGTACAAAAGCAAACATTGTGCTGAATTACAATGGAGTCAGCAGACAGAGTCAGGCCTGCTGTAACTGAGGGTTACATTCACATCAACACTGCAGGGTCATTTTGTACTGCATGTTATGTTTTTCTGGATGTTTTGTCATTTAAATACTTAGCACAGATATACACTCGTTTCTTGAGAGTTCCTGTAGCAGCAGGGAAGAAATTAGGTAACTGAAAACAGTGACCTGTCCCAAAGACAAATTTCAGGCTTAAAAATGTTTAGCTGTAGAACTCCATGTTGAAAAGTGCATGACACAAATACGGATATTTTAACATTGTAAAAGAAAGGTCTGAAGCGTACCACGTCTATGGACCTAGAGATCAACAGAAATTCAAGATACATTAGCAGCATTGGAGGATCAGACTCTCTCTGCAATTTCTCTTGTAAACCATGTGCACAAAGGACTAGTTCCACATCATCAAATAAAACCAAAGTTCTTAAATCAATTCTGACACGCTTGCACAGGTCTTTTTGTTCACACAAGCATAAATTCATAAAATGTTAAGACTGAAAGGGAGCAGTTATCATTTAGTCTAGCCTTTGCGTTGACTCAGATTTTGGACTGCCATCCAGTGAGTCTCACATCAAGTCCTAGCATTTTAATTACTGCAGCCAGGACTTGAAGTCTTAGAAGATGGTGAATCAGCCAGAGCAAAGCCCCTTCTTTTAAGAGTTGTTTATCCTGAAAAAAAAACAGTGTTTGAGATTATTTGCTACAGCATTTCATACACTGAGGGCTATTATGTCAGGTGTTTGTATAATTACAATAAACTGCCATTTTCTTTGATATATCTGCAAGTAAGCACATTTTTACATGTTTTAAAACATAACTTCTTTTCTTCTCATCAAGGAAAACCATTTCTTAACCCTTAGAGCAGACAACAGGTAGAGGCTGCAGAAGATGAAATAGAAAATGCAATTTATGTAATCTCATCAATACTTCAGTTCTCATCTGTTGATCTTACAAGCAAGACAAAGAATACAGAACTTCTTAGAAAAATGTATCTTGAAGCACAGTGAAGCTGCATCAGGGAGCACTAATAGCACTGTGGCAGTGCCTGCTGTCTGCACGATACATTTGTTAAAGAGTTAAGTAGGAAAACAGACTAGTTTCATAGCAAGGAGTATGAAACACTAATGCACATGTACCAGATCTCCTTTCATTCACTGCCAACTCTGCGGTCTTCTTCCCCATAACTGATATTCCATCTCTGGCACGCTTTCAAAGGAACCTCCCTGTGGTCTATTAAGCTTTCATGATTTTCATTTCATTTCGCTTGACCTCACTCACCTCTTCCTCTCACCACAGGAGATACTTTGGAGGAGGGGGGGATTAAAAAAAAAAAAAAAGAAGAGAGGAGAGAGCTCAGCGGTTTGGTTGAAGGTGAATAATGGCACGCAGTAATCTCACAAACAGCGTGAAGTTGATAGGTTTGTACAAGCGGGTCTAGTCATACCACCTAACGTTTAAATTGTCAACATTTCACACCTGAGTTATGTTTTTTAACTGCTTTGCTTACAATTTTGCAAAATTCCATTTTCCTAAGCAGAAGTCTACATCCAGTGACATTTGTATAAAGGTCAGCCAAGAGCAGCAGTCATCTCAGTCCTGTCCTGCTGGGAATTTTGATGCTACAACCTTCACAATGACCAGGGGAAGAGGGCTGGCGGAAGGGAGAGAAAGGTTCGGGGGATCAGCGTATGTGCAAAGTAGGACTTACGCAGCGTTCAGCAACATGCAGTACTCTCTATAATCGAAATAACAAATAATAGTGACTACCTAATTAAAGCGTATAAATGTCTTTATGTTACCTATATTACCTTATTTCAGACTTCTTCAGTATTTTTTTTTAAAAAGCACCTTGAAGTAAACAAACTTAAATACATAAATATATATGAGCGATACCAAGGTATGTATATTTTTTATGTATGTATACACACATGAGATGATCAAGGTATTATAACAGAAGTCACATAAGCTAAAAATAAGCAGCAAGGTGAACATTTCCTAGTAGTCCCCTGTAGTAGCTCTCAGCTTCCCCACAAGTCAACAATGAAATCATTCATCATATAAAAAAAAGATATTTCACCAACCGCGAAAGAAACCACGCATGGACGCTGGGAAGTAAGTACCTATTACGACTGGCTATTTATTAGGAACCAGATTCTCCCTGTATTGACACAGCAGTATTTTCTCGCATCGGCCAGTCCTGTGTGCCTGCCCTCTTTGTGCACAGCAAACGCGACAACATGGCACCTAGGTCTTGGTTAGGGCCGTAACGCAAAAGAAGGGAGGACGTGATTTCGAACGTGGGTCCAAGAACAGCGAGCACAAGGAATGTTCTGGGCACATTTCTGGACAATACTGAGATGCACTCTCAATAGGCACCGAAAGGGACAGATGGGAGTATCTCTAAATAAAGCTGACTAAGTACTGGACGCCAAATGTAATACTGGGAGAACATTAAAGAGCGATGGACTTTATTCTGCTTACTTTTCAATTTGATACCAGCGCAGCTTTAGAGATACAGCTGTGATTAACACTCCTAAAAATGCCGAGGGGAGGAGGGAAATGAAGCCCTCTATTTGATATGAATACAGGGCAGTCTATCCACAGTGGGGACACATCTGCTGCACCGACTGAAACTGCATTTCCCATTAAAAAGATCCATACCTTTGAATTTTTCTACATTTTCAGCTGATAATAATAATGACCTCAGCAGAGGTCATTAATCATCAACTGCAGTTAATGGCCCTCAGCTGCATCTTGAGCCATCCCAACTCCTCCCAGCTTGATATTAATTCCCAAGAAACGCCTTATGCCTTAATTGCTATTGCCTGTGACTTCTAATATCTGCTGAATGTACTTATCTGGATAAAAGTCTTTCAGAGTCATTCCAATCTATAAGAAAATGTATCATATACATTTTAAAGACCTAAGCAAATTCTCTCCCTTTCAAGTTTTGTGGATAAATTATTCAAGACTCATAATCCTCTCAATTCAGAACTTTTAAAGCGCTTTTAGGATTCAGTATTTTTAAGACGCTTTTAGAAAGGAAGTCTTTAAACTTTCAGAATACTTTGAAAACTCCTGAAAAAAAAAAGGAAGGACCACAGTTAAGCAGCAGTGTTGCTACTCTTAAAAAGTCAAAATGCAGAAAGTCATGAGTGACGCATTTATTTCTGGGATTTTGGCATGTCTTCATCCATCCCAAGTACATCTCTGTGAGACCCAATTGATGCTCTGGCAAACGTGAGTAGCCTTCATTTGACCAATGCTGCAGAAGTTCTCCCTTCTCCCTCATGGGCTCCGTGCCCTCTCTTCATCTCGCTATTCCTTTGCCCAACACTGGGCACCCTTCCCCAGTTCTTTCCTGTCACCTTAAGTCAGCTCCCATCACCCATCATTCACCACCTCTAGCAGTTTCTCGAGTTCTTTTTTTAATTAACAAAATTAGCACAAAGTAGGAATATACTAATTAAGGCTGCTGATTACTCAAGCTCGATTGCTATCATTTATGACAGCCAGTGCAGAGGACAAACAGAGCACCATGCAAGGAAGAAATGAGCACTGGAGTAAGACACAAGCTAAAAGCCTCAGAGTACAAAGGCAGAGCCATGCACTCCCGGACTAAAGGCTATTTCTACTACTAAATGGGAGCTCACCTGGGAACCACGATCCTGCAAGTCACACGATAAAAGTGATCAGTGAAATGCAGCCATAAGGAGGCAAACAAAATACTGCATGCATCCAGAAAAGTATTTCCACTAAAGCAAGGAACGTGGCAACAACTTTATATAGAACACTATTACACCTCATTAAAAATGCAGGTTTTGTTGTCTGTATCCCAGACATATTAAGCCAATTTGGAACAGATTCAGATAAAGGCTACAGGGAATGAAGAACTTACTGAATAAGAAATGAAAATGCTTGGCTTATTTAGCAAAACAAAACAAAGCAAAGCCTGAGAGGAGATGGGACAATCATCAGTAGTTTACCAGAACTGTGTAAAGACAAAGTATACTGTATAAAGACTAAAAGACTATGTTGGCATAAAACAAGTGGAAACAATTGGCATAAATAGGTTTAGGCTAGAAGTTAAAGAAGGTTTCAAACATCAGAGTAATGATCCAGAAACAACCTTCCAATTACAGCAGCAGCGGCAAAAGATTTTTTTTAAGATTGAATTTGGTTAGTTCATGCGAGGGACTATGACAAAGTATCAACGCAAGGAGCGTTGTAAAACATGACTGCCTGAATTAGCAAGTGAATTGGGTTCCAGCACAGCAAGTTCCTGTGATTTATTTCCAAACATTTCTTTCATGAATAGCTCCACTGGTATTGTGTTCATTCAGGACAAAAGCCAAGGCCTAACTCAAATCAATGGAAGTCTTTCCACAGACATCAGTGAGCTTTGGATTAGAGCCCTAGAACTCAGAACACAAATCACATTTTATTATTCAGTGTGTTTACGCTCATTATCACCCTTGTTACACATTTGATTTAGGAGATGGCTGTGATTTGAAACTTCAGTCTACTCCTTTTTCCTAGAGGTATACAAGCGAATAAAGCAAGCTTTTTTCCCATTTTAATTTT